TATATATATATATATATATATATATACATAAAAAATTATATGTAGCCAGATTTATCTGGTCGAAAAATTAATGCAATTTTTTTTTACATTAATTTTAATTTTTATACTATTATTATTATAAATCACTGTTTATTATAAAACGATTTCCTTCTGAATTTTTTCCTGAATATCGGTACCGACATTTTCCATAAGCTCCTGGAAAAAAATATTTATTATAATAATCATAATTTAAAAGAAATTTTTTTAGTATCTTTTATCATTATTATAGCTTGATATTTAAAAAGAAAATAAAAAATTGTTTTTATACTACATTGACAATCCAAATCAATGCATTGATAATAGAAATTAATAAAAAAATTTGTATAATAAATTTCTAAAATCAAAATAAATTAGTACATTGACAATTAATATCAATGTATTGATTGAATTGACATTCAAAATCAATGAAAAATTATTGACAATAAATGTAATTTAAAAAGTTTCTTTTTTCTTATGATCAAGAACTTTTCAAACTACATTGACATCTATAATTAATATATATATATATATACTACATTGATACTCAAAATCAATGTATTCACTACGTTGACAGTTAAAATCAATTTTAAATCATAATTGATACTCAAAAGCAATAATTATTAATTACATTGATAATCAAAATCAATGCAATTGTTTTTTCCATTAAATAATAATTTCAATTTGTCATTATTTACTGCATTGACACCAAAAATCAATGCAATTTACGACATTGGCCCTCAAAATCAATGTATTCGCTACATCAACAGTCAAAATCAATGTAATTTTTCAAAATCATAATTGATACTAAAAATCAATACAATTGCTACATTACCACTTAAAATCAATGCAATCATTATAATGATACTCAAAATCAATGTAATTTTTTTAATTGAACAAGACCTTAAAGTCGTCATCATTTACTATATTGACGCTTAAAATCAATACAATTTACCACATTTACACACTAAATCAATGAAATCATTACATTGACACTTTAAATAAACGTATTTTTTTTTCAATTGAATGGTTATTTTGAGTCAACGTTATTTATTACATTGACTCTCAAAATCAATGTATCAATTACATTGATACTCGAAACCAATGTAATTTTTTAAATGGAATAATATGTAAAAACCATCATTATTTACTATATTGATGCTTAAAATCAATACAAATCTACATTGACATAAATCAATGTGAATTTTTTTTATCAAATAATTATTTTAAGTCAACATTATATACTGTACTGCATTGATACTAAAAATCAATATAATTTCCTACATTGGCCCTCATAATCAATGTAATTTTTAATGATGATTTTAAGCCTACATTATTGTTGTATTAATACTAAAAATTAACTTAATAGCTACATTGATGCTTAAAATCAATGCAATCATTACATTGACATTTAAAATCAATGTACTTTCTAAAAATAATTATTATATATCAGCATTATTTGATGCATTGATAGTAAAAATCAATGCAATAACTTCAATGACCCTCAAAATCAATGTAATTTTTTTTAATCTCAAAAATGATCTTAATAAATTACCTTTATGATCATCAGGACCCCTAGTAGTACTAGGCAGTGGGGAATAATTATCCTTACGCTCTTGTGAAGCTCCAGCATCAACATTTTCCTTAAAAAAACCGCAAAAATTAGGATTCCTGTTGAAATTGCTGTGAAGAGCCGGAGCCGAAGGCGACGGCGTGATAGAAAGCTTAATAGTCCGCATAAACCGGCCTCGATTGCTGGCATCTTTTCTCTCTAGCGGTGTGACCGGCCGAAAATCGAGAAAGCGAAGAGACTCCGGCAAGATGTGGATTGCGTACAGCCTGTACCGGTCATAGTCAGCGTCGTCATTGTTGACAGGATCTGTGAGCTGATCGGGGTAACCCGGATTCCCCAACAGACTCACGTGCTTCACTTTTGGACAGCAGCTGCTGATTCTTTCCAGCGCTAAGTCTATGTCCATCAGCTGATCGCAAATTAACATTAATATTCAAAAATCAAAAATCAAAAATCAAAAATCAAAAATTAAAAATCAACACCTTGTTATTATTCAAGCTAATTGTTGTCAATGCTTCCATTACCGGCAAAGTAATTAAATCATAAAGTTTATTGTTGTCTAAAATTAATTCCTCAAGACAGAGACACTCTTTAAGAGCTGATATTGATGTCAGCTCATTATAAGACAGATCGAGGCTTACACAGTTTACTCCCACTATTTTTATCAATCCTCGAGGTATTCTCGTCGATCGTTGACCCGTGTAGCACGCCTAGGTAAGTTATTAATTAATTATTTATTTATTTGTAGCTGTCAAAATTATAAGTGAAGTTAATTAAAATAATTTTTTTTTTTTATAAAAAAAATTTTTTAAAATTATAGTGAAGAATTTTTAACATTTTTTTTATTGTAAATTTGTTTAAAAAAATAACTTTTAAAAAATTGCATTTTTTATTTTTATAAATTTTTACATGCCAATTTTTTTACAATTTATTTGTTAAAAAAAGATTCTAAAAATTATTTAATATCTGCTTAATTTATTTTCATGTTAAAAAAATTTTTTAAATTATTGACAGTTGACTGCTAATTTCATTGTTGTAAAGTTAACCGACATTTTTAATTATTAAATTAGATTAAACTGAAGTTAGCTGTCAGTTGTTAATGTCAAAAATTTTTATAACAAAAATTTTCACTTGAGAATTTTTTTAATTAAACTTTATTTTTATAATAATTTTAATTACTATAAAATTATAATAAAAAAACGTATGTTTAATGTCTGTTAACTTCAGTGTTATTAAATTAGAACTAAATAATATTTTTTAAAAATTGCACATATTTTTTTAATAAAAATTTTTAGATGTTGGCTAACTTAATTTTCACTGTGAAGTCAGCTGACTTTTGAATTTTGACTAGTCGAATTTTTTTTAGGTTAGATTAAGTGAAAAGTGATTTTATTGTTAAGTTAATAGTTGTGATCAATTGTTTTAATTATAAATAAATGTGATTGTTTTTTAGTGTAATTTAAAAACTTACCCGGTTGTGAGAGACTGTCAATGCACTTCGGTTAAAATCTTGCGCCATTTTGAAATTTTGATGGCGAGTTATTTTTTATTTTTTTTAGATTACTTGTGACATGTTTTTATTTTTTCATCCAGGTTTATCTGAGGTGAAGATTAAGTTATTGTCATAATAACAATAATAACAAATATTTATTATTATTATTATTATTATTATTAAGTATAAAAAAATTGACAGTTTTAATTAAATTATTTTTATTATTAGTTGTGAGAATAATTTTAATAATAATAAATTTTTATTAATAATTATTGTTATTATTATTAGTAAGAAAAAAAATTTTGAGGTTTTAATAACAAAAATTTAATTAAAAAGTTTTATTATTGTTTATATTGCAAAAAAAATTGACATTTGTCATGATAATAATAAAAATGACTAAAAAATTGACAAATCTGAAATAAACAGCTGATATTTTTTTAATTTCATTAAAAAACAACCTAAATAAAATTATTAAATCTTAAAAACTAACCTAAGGATACACTAAATCAGCTGATTCGTTGGTAACTATAAATACGTCCAAAGATTTTGACCCTCCACAATGGGTTTTAGGCTCGTTGGTCTAGAGGCATGATTCTCGCTTAGGGTGCGAGAGGTCCCGGGTTCAAGTCCCGGACGAGCCCTTATTTTTTCGTTTTTTAACTTAAAAAACGAAAAAAAAAAAAATTTGCTCCAAAAAAAAAAAATTACTCCAAAAAAAATTCATTTTTAATTAAAAAAAATTTCTTAATTTGAAAATTAATTAAGCATATATGTATTTAATAACTTTAAAAAGTTTATAGCAAAAAAAAAAAAATGCAATTTTTAAAAAATAATTTTTTTTTACAATTTATTTTATAAAAAAATTTCTAAATATCTTTCAATTTTTATTTTTTTTAGAAAAAAAAATTGCCATGTAAAAAAAAA